TGCTGTGAGTACAAAAAACAATCCATACCCCAAGCGACGAGCTGGGGGGTAGAGATTATGGGGGAAGGAAAGTCCCCCCATTTTCGAGTGGCCAAGGTTAAAAAACACTGGTATAGGACATATGAGTTTCAGGGAGTTGCTAAACACTTCCTCCATTCAAAAGCTTGAAAGTGACCCATCAGGGCTTTATTTCCCACAGGCATGTCCATCCTTCTCTCTCCGCCGTGGGGCTAGAGAAAGAGGGGTCCGCAAAGCCCCCCCGGCTGCAAACTGAAATCTGAATATCGGCTCCAGGGGCTGAGCTCTAGACAAGTCGCCTGCGTTTCCGTCCCGCCTCCCATTCAGGAGCAAAAGGCACGGGCAGAGTACAGTTTGTGCCCTCCAGCGCCCCCCCAGCTCAGCCCTGCCAGTAAACCGGGCTGAGAGGGAGGGGCCGCTCAGAGCCCCCCAGGGAGCCTCCATGGCTGGGAGGGGGCCAGAAGCTGGGTCTCCCCACTCCTAGGCTAGCCCCAACAAATAAGTCCGCCAGATGCTGACCCCACCTCTAATCACCCGCTTCACCCCTGGTTTCTAGAACCCAGCAGCCCCCTTGCAGGCGGCTATGACACAGGACAAGCCCCCTCCGTCCTGATTGGGCAAAACAACTGCACAATTCAGTCAAGGCGCCCAATAGGAAGGCAAGCTGCGAGGTCCCCCCCCCTTTCTTCGTTTACATTTCAAAACAGCGAAGTAGGAAAATCATTTCCGAGTTTCTTTTTTTTTTTCTTTCTGTTTTTAATGCCCAGCAAAGGAAGAACTTGGCTCCTCCAGATGGAAGCTGGTTTGTTTTTCTCCCAGAGGCCAGCACAGAGATGGCTATCAAGGCTGCTGGCTTACTGGAGTCGCACACCCCGGGAAGCTAAGGGACGGAGGGTTTGGGGGCTGGGTTCAAGTTCCCCCGGAATTCTCTCCAGCACCGCTTCCTCGCAAGGCTGTCCTGAGGTCAAAGACAGAAAGACTGTGGCCATGCAAACGGAGTGTGCCACGTGCAAACAAAGCAACATGACGCTTTGAAGTTAAGGGGAAGGCTCCCCCCACCCCGTCTCACGAGGGCCCCATGCATGAAGGAGAGATCTGCGGAGGTCCGGATCCGCAGGGGCCGCTCTCCCGTCGGGCCAAACCAAACCTCCTTTTTACCCCCCACCCACCCCACATTACCACGCACTTCCTCTCCAGGGACTGCAGGAATCTTGGCCTTCGGCCCAGCCCACTTCACACGCAGCCCCCTTCCCCAGCTGGAGCCTGGCATGGGCGGGGGACTCAGCCTCAACCCAGCCTCCCCGCAAAAGCAGGGGGACCGGAGCCAGGACGCTGCGGCCGGGCCTCCCTAGAGGCTATCCAGTCTCTCCCCGAACCACCACTAAAGGCAGGGCGGAAAGGAGGGCGCCGAGTGGAGGGGCAAGAGGGACGCAGGCGGCGAGGAAGACCCCCGCCCGAGGCGCAGCCACGCCGCTGCTCGCGTCGCTAGCCGTTCACCCCCGCGGGCTACGGAAGCAGCAGCGGGGCGACGCCCCCTTCCAGACCACAAGTCGAGACCTCCGCTTGGGACCGAGACGCGCCCCAGCCCCACCGCGGCGAAAGAACGAGGGGGCGGCGGCCTGGAAGGGGGCTGCGAAGGCGCGCTGGAGCCCCGTCGGGGGGACCGGCCGACCCGGCCCGAG